TATGATCATATTTATATCATCATATTTTTCTTCAGCTTGACAAAGGTTGATAACATAATGTTTTTATGTATATATGTATATATTTATATATATATGTATATATATATATCAATTATATATGTATATATATAAATATATATATCACACATAGGATTTACCCTGTCTCTTATACACATCTAGATGTGTATAAGAGACAGCTCAATTCCCTTAGTGAATGGTCAACAAACAACCAAATGAAACTCAACCCAACTAAGTCCTCTACCATGGAAATACAGTAATGCGTTGTCCCCCACCACCCATACTCCTCCAGTTAAATGACACAGAGATAGTTTGTCGACCGTCTGTAAAGCTACTTGGCATTTATGTTCAAAGTGATTTCAAATGGGACACACAGGTGAAACAGATGCTGAATAGAGCTAATGGTAAACTTCACATGATACGGATTTTAAAACATCACAATGTTCCTCCTAAAGACCTTTTCACCATATATAATTGCTATGTAAGGCCAAATGTAGAATATGCGGCTCCAGCATGAAATGCAGGACTCACGAAAGAACATATTAAAAAATTAGAAGTATACAAAAACGAGCACTTAAAATGGTCTTGGGTGCTTTAAATGTAAATTACGAGAATGCACTTACCTTCTTGAACACAGTGGCCCTAGCCGAAAGTCGCCGGAAATTATGTTACGACTTTGCAAACAAATTAAAAGGAAATGCCACAGATGTGCAGGAACAACAGATTAAAAAATAGCCCTATTCAATACTTTGTTAGACTGATTAATGGAAAATAATTAAAATTTGATAAAATGACAAAAAAATCTTCATCTGTCCCTGATTGGTGCTGCTTGGTCAATCTTGTGAGTCTGCCAAATAATTAAATCAACAACCGCTACACCTCTTATAGGAACTGATAAGTAAATTAAAAGTATATTTTGTGTAAATTTTATTGGAAGTAACAATAATTTTGTGTAAATAGTAATCAGAATAATAACAATTTTATAATAATTAAATTTTTTGATGTTTTTGTAAATTGACTTCTTTTATTTTATATTGATATAATTGATATAAATTTGTGTAAACAATAATAGTAATAATAATTGTAGTACAGTAATGATAATAATTTTATAATAATTAAATTTGAGAGGACTTTTAATTGAATATCTTTTTCTTTCTAAAATGTATTTTAATGTTTTGTCCATTTCTGTGGGGTTTTTCTTTTGCGTGTGTTTTTTCTTTTTTATATAACTTTATATATATATATATATATATCAATTCATGTATGTATTTTTATTTCTTCCTTTCTTTATGAAAGACATAAGCTTATTGCTTATTATTATATATTCTCGAAAGATAATTACGGCGGCTTTTGGACATAGGGCCTATTCTTCATTCTTATGCTAAATAGATTAAAGCATTCTAACATCTCCCTTTAAATGCCCCGTTTCATTATGTTCACTGAGTTTTTATTACACATTTTCTTTATGGTTTTTAAGTACATTGAATTTCCTGGCGTCTAAATTACTTCAAGGCATAATACCCTTTATTCATTTTAGTAGCCTTTTCAACTCTGCGGACATTGGCTGACGTTCATTACTGTTTTAAATTCACCATTTTAGTTCACTAGTCTGTCATCCCCTTAATTATAATACAGGCCATACTTGTTCAGTCAGAAGAGGTATATATACAGTATATATATATATATATGTATGTATATGTATACAACACATCTAGATGTGTATAAGAGACAGGTATTCCACTCTGCAGCTCAAATCATGCCAACAACCACAGTCCTAGGATTGGCTTGCTAAAAAAATCACGATATATTAAGAATTTATTTACGTTACGTTGACAAAATTGACCAAAACATTTTATTGTTATTCTAATTAGAACAGGTGTTACGGCGCTTATTCGAGAGGGGCAATTATTCAGACAGGGCGCTTATTTGCGCGAGTACGATAGTAAAACGAAAATAGAATTGCTATTTGAAAATCGTTGATGATGTAAATTAAAGTTTAATGATTACGGTATAAAATTATAATTGGGGAGAACTTGAAACATAGTAGTAACATTTTGATAACAAGCTACATTGTACAATGCACATAAAAATGTGATAACAAAACCTAAATACTCAATTATAGAATTAAACCCAAATTTAAATTATAATACGAGAAGAAGTGGTGATACAAGAAGAAGAAGCTTATCGGTGCCATAGTGGTGGCCTTCGTCAATATTTGGAAGTGTTTATAACC